ACCGGCAATGCCCGTCGAGGTAAGCTCCCCACCCTGGCATTGATGTATCCGTGTACAGGGTCATATTGGGAACCGGCTTGGACAAAGGAACCCCTCGCAGAACATTGTCCTGATGAGTCCACCAGCGTGCGAACTCCTTGGCCGACTGGTTCCACTCCGGAAGAATGAAACTCCGGACCCNTATAAAAGTATTTTTAGAAACAAAAAACAAAGCGTGTACCACATAAAGCTCCCAAGATGTAAAACACGTTCTTTTGCCAGACGAATTGTCTATTATCTAGTACACGGGTGACAAATATGTCTCTACTTCTTAAAATATATCAAATTGAATTATGTGAAAATATAACAATGCAACTTCCCTATTAACACGTTAATTCTGGAAAAAACCTAACGGGAAACGTTCAATCCAGACCAACTGTCCGGACACAGTAAACCAGGAACAACGTACAGGACACGTTACATCATGAACAACTAACTGGACACGCAACATAAAGAACAACTAACTGGACACGCAACATCAAGAACAACTAACTGGACACGCAACATCAAAAACAACTAACTGGAAACGCAACATCAAGAACAACTAAGTGGACACGCAACATCAAGACCAACCAACCGGAAACGCCACATCACGAACAACTAACTGGACACGAAACATCAAGAACAACTAACTAGACACGCAACATCAAGAACGACTAACTGGAAACGCAACATAAAGAACTGACCGGACACGAACAAATCTGAAATAACTACATGACACGTTACATCCGGTGCAACTTACTTGACACGGAACATCAAGAACAATTAACTTGACACGTTCAATCGCGAACAACTAACTGAACGCGAAAAAATCCGGAATAACTACGGAATCAGTTGTTTCGGAACAACTAACTTGACACGTAACTTCCAGAATAACAAACAGGACACGTTACATCCGGAACAATTTACTCGACACGTTTCCTCCAGAACAATTAACATGACACGTTCCATCCGGAACAACTAACTGGACAGGTTGCATCCTAGACAACTAACTGGAAACGTTACTGCCGGAACAACTAACAGGTCACATAACATATGAAACAAGTTCCAGGACACGTTACATTCAGAAAACACTAACAAGACACGTTACATCCGAAACAACTATCAGGACATGTGAAATCCGGGAAAACTTACTTGACACACTAGATCCGAAACATCAAACAGAATATTCACTACATTTTAAACAACTTAAACGGAACAACTGACTTGACAAGTGGAATCCGGAACAACTGATTAATAATTAAAGCTACAACTGGAATGGTTATATAGAAATTTAAATTTAAGCAAAAACATTAATCAATAAAAAGGACATTGTTTATGCTTCATATTTGTGATGGTGTTATACATTCACATGCTGTAAAAACAAAGTCAACCGAAGCAATGAAATAACATTTCTGGGTACTTGTATAGTAGGAAATTCTTCTATGGAAACCAATAACCCCAAAGTGCTTTCCCAGCGGTTACTGCTGCAGTCATAGCCCAGCCCATAACAGTCTTCTCTTCGTTTTCGTAATTTGTCCTTTCATTGTGTCGCATGTTATTAATTTTTTCCTGGTGTCGTTGTCTTTCTTCCTCTAATTCGAGTTTCATTCTTAACTCGAACTTTTCGTTTTCGATTTCCATTTCTCTTCTTTTTGCTTCATTTTCTTTTTTTTCGGCTTCTTGTTTTCGACGTATTTCTGCATCTTTCTCCGAATTTTCCAAATCCTTTGTTTGAAGTTCAAACTCCTTTAGTAGTGCTATACTCGCTTCCAATTCTCTTCTCTGTCTTTCCATTTCTTTCTGTTTGGCCTCCATTTCTTCCTGAATCTGCGCAATCTTCCTCTCTCCTTTAAGTCTGATTTCCTTGGCTCTTCGCTGAAATTCTAGCTCTGATTTTTCGAGCGTATCATCTGAGAAGTAAGCTTTGCCAGTCTCATTAATGATAGCTTGGACGATCCCTATCAGTTCGAGAACGTCAAATTCAGCTTTTTGAGCGCTAGAATAGTTATCAAATGCTAAGTATTTGTGACCACATCTCTTTAAAATGTATTTCAGTTCGTCTGGAACCTCATTGACATACTCTTGGATGGTCTCACCGGTTCTTTCCAGGTCATCTCGTCGTGTAAATAGTATTATTAGGTACCTGAAGAATTCTTTACCAAATATATGGCTGAAGTGTTTGACTGTGTCTTTCTCTTCTGGTGTAAAACGCCCTATTTGAACAACAAGAATAAAGGCATGTGGTCCGGGAGTGAGAATTCCTATGCATTTAAGGATTTCTTTTGCGATAACTTCGTTGGATAATTTCGTGTCGAACAGTCCCGGTGTGTCAACTACTAACAACTTCTTGTCAAAACGCTCTGCTGTGTGGAAATGACATTTCTGTGTTACTGAAGACCCAGATGATTTAGACGTAAAGACTTTCTTACCAAGAATGTTGTTTCCAGTGGCACTTTTTCCAGACCCTGTACGTCCTATCAAAGCTATTCGGTACTCGTACCCTGCTCCGTATGAAGTATCTTGATCTACATTAAAAAAAATAAAATGGAACATAGTAGTGTTGAAATTAAGAACAGTAGAGAATACGTAAAACATATATAACTACTTCCATTCCAAGTGAAATAAATAATGGATTGTGAGACATGTAAATATTTGCAAATAATGTAATTGGTCCTTAAAACTATACATTCATCAGGTGGTCATTTAACGTTACCGATAGATTATCTAAATAGTACGGTAAATCGCCATAAATTGAAATTAAAAGGTTCTGTAAATATCATTTATCTATTTGCCGTCTATATTTAACGAACAGAAAGTGTAATTTGAGAACGACTCGACCACGGTCATTTGTAATCAAATAGAGAATAATTGCGTTAGTGTCAAGTTTCGAAATGCAAGTTCATTAAACCATAAAAAAATAATACATACCAAGCTCAGCCATTTTTGCCATGATTTTTCTGAAAAAAATATAAAAAAACACGCTCATAATATATCATAAATATAATTTAACTGAACATCTTAGATACATTTGCTCTTACACCTCTATTTCGTTTCTTAGATTTCGATTAACGTTTTATATATCCAACAAAGCCAATGAATTATGTGATATTTGCGAGCAAACATTACACAATACATAGTATTGTTAGGTCTTAAAGAGAGAGAGAAAGGAAGTCCGCGTAACAATCAATTCTCCACGTTGCGACAAGATTAGTAAAATATATTACCTGTAACTGAGCAAGTCTCATTCAACCAGACGCTTGATCACTTGTAATATCAGAGTTTGGTCAAACATAGTGCTTTAAAAAGACCATCACCAGAGGGAAGTTTTTTTTTTGTTTCCGGACGTTATTTCAAAGCCATTAAAACATTTCAAAGAATACTGCAATTAATGAAAAATAAACCTTCCTGAAGTACCCGTTTATTCACTATTATCGAGAACAATGTAAGAAATTGTGTCAACTCTCCATATATTTCCACTGAATAAATCATAACTATGCACGAAA